TCTCCCTAGTGTGAGTGTGTATGTGCATGGTGGTTCTGTGTTGTCCTGCGACAGACTGGCGACCTGTCCAGGGTGTACCCTGCCTCTCACCTGAAATGTGTTTAGAAGAGGCCTCAAGTATTCGTGAATTTTAGCTGTCCGTTGATGACTGCAGTTCCTAACCTCTGTGAATTTAATATATTTTGTGTAGCCAGATGAATCAGGCTACACAAATGTGGGGTGTCTGAAGGACTGAGTCTGGGTTTAATTTAGCATTTGACAGAAAAATGAAAGGATGGAAAAATGTCATGACATCTCTATAGTAATGAAGGCCTATCCTGGGCTCCATTTGGGATTTTTAATCTGGAATCGACCAGCAGCTTGGCATTTCCATCAAAAAAAACAAAAAAAAAAAAACAAGCATTGTGACTAAAAATGAAAACATCACAAATTTAAAACATCATACACTGAGGAACCAATAGACTTAAAGTTAAACTTTTCAGCTTGCATTTTTTGAATCCAAGTCTCTAATGACTCCTTTAGTTATTTTACACTTACTATATGACCACGTTCATCTGCTGGAGACATCTAAATGCTCACAATAACCCTAAACTTGAGCTCAAGTAAATTACTGTATAGAAAAATTCTATTGTGAAGCTCTAGGAACAATTGATGCTGTAATGATTTTAATAGCTTGACATTTTGGTACAACAGTGGGTCCCAGAAGCATTCCATGTTCAGGCTGGTGCCCAAGAGGTATGGTGGAAAGGGGACGGCTTTACGGTGGAGGGATAAAGGGCAGATGTGGAGATTGGCTTCTGCCTTCTTGTGCATTTTAAGGAATATGTCTGAAAGCTGAAATGGGCAGGTTGTGCTTGACTGATTTTTTGTAATGTCTTCAAAACTATGTAAATACTCATTCAGAATTCAACCTTTTACTCCAGTTAATTACACTTTTAATTACAACTAAAATGCATATTTGCTCTACGAGCACTAAAATTTAGAAACTTGTCTGATCAGGACATTGCCAGAGGCACAGTGAGGATGGAAGGTGAAGCACTGCTAAGTAGCCTGAGGGCAGAGATAAGTAGATTGAAAGAGGGGAAAAGAGAAACCTTTAATCTGTACAATCAGGCTATGAAGGACGGATCTTTCCCCCTTATGGGCATCGTTGTCAAGCAGAAAAGGCTATTCAGCAATTCCTTTTGTTGCCCGTGTAGTGACTCCAGGACTGTTTAATCATCAATCAAACTGACACACAGATTTTGGATCAATCATGAGGTCTGTAAATGTTAGATATGTCAGGATCCCACAGGTTAGTTTGTATTATCTGTATTTGCTTATTTGTGGTGGGTCTTTTGAGATTTAAAATCTCATTTATAAGGATGTCATGGACAAAACCAACACTAATATATTCAGATGTTTTGGTCCAGTCAAAACCTGAAAATATATACACCCCAGAGAGTTTTTTTTTTTTTTCACCCATTTTCATTCAGAGAACAAAATAATTTCTGGGATATTGGTAAAACAAAAAAAAAAATCTCAAGAAAAACAGTGAGTTTCTGGTCTATCAACATCTGACTTTGATTGCACAGTTCACCAATCAATGTCTGATGTTGCAGTGCAGAGGTGTCCAAAGTCAGTCCTCAAAGTCTGGCATCTTGCATGTTTCACTTGTCTCTCGTTGTTACTACCTCCTCGGCATATAAAGGGCAGACATTAAAGAAATGAATCCACATAAAATCAAGGAAAAAAGCTATAAATATAAATGTTTTTGCTCTCTAAGTTAAGCTCCGCAGGTTTTCTTTGGGCAGTGTGACTTTAAGACAAACAGTGGCGGGTTTGCAGTGCTGACCAAACAATCCCAGCAGGCTGCGGACATTTTTGTTCCTATTCTTAGATAAATTAAAAGGAAATGTGAAATGCAGGTCTAAAATATACATAGAAGTTAAAACAATTAAAAACAAGTACATAGCTTAGACTAAATATTATGTAGATTACACTAGAAGTAAGTAAGATATTCCAGAGCATTAAAATGAACAAAACTTGGCATTTTAATTGAAACTGAAAAAAATATGAGCTGACAAAAAATATCCAGAACATATTTAATATGACAAAATATATTCTAACAAAATGAACAACAACAGACAAAAATCAATATAACTTTAGGGTTTGACACACCTCTTCGTATCCATGTGGGCCTCGGCCAATGGCGCACCTATGCCTCCTGTTTTTACCACAGACTGAACAACCACCCTACACTCAGAGATTTACGGTATGAGGCCGTTTATAAGCTTTATAAGGACACAATCGAAAAGAGAAAAAAAAACAAAAAACAGTTCTCACAGGAAATCCAGGAAGTTTTGGTGTCCTTGTCACAGAGATTAAATATCCACACTGCAAACCGAAATTCTCTCCTCACTGAGTTTCTTTGAAGCTAGCTTTTTTGTTGGGAGGGGGTGTTCAGCTCATGATCTGACCCGTTGAGTGTTTGGTGCTAACCTTTGACTCTTTTTATTGTCCCTGTCAGTCCATAGACATGAATTAGACCTAATTACCCTCTATTCTACTGATTAAAGAAATAATAGCCGAACAGCGGACCCTAAATAAGAAATTACTCATTACGAAAAAAGAGCACATTACTTTCCTCTATGTCTTTCTTGCTTACAGAGTACAAGTGGAAATCTAGGACAAATAGTGTAGAGCTAATGCTAACTGAACTGGTTCCTCCTTAAATTGTACAAACTTTGTTTTGATCAGCGATCACCAAATCCTGCATAAGTCACTGTAGCAACTTTTACATGGATCCGTGATCCAACTGACCTGAATATATTGGGCTCATTTCTGCAGAGGCTATTTCAGTCATTCATGTGATTGAAGTGTGTTGGAACACGGCTGGATCTGAACGTTTCAAGACAGTGGCCCCAAAGTTGTGTTAAATCTCATTAGCATATTCAGAGTCAAAATTAAGTGAGTCCAGGATTAAGTTTGTGTGAACAACCTGAGACAGGAGAAATATTACAAACCTACTGATCAAACCAGATTAGGGTGGAGTTCACTACACTATGCACACCCTCAACCCATCTGCTGCAAAAATAAGCAAAACACATTTAAAGGTTTTTGTTAACTATCAAACAAGAAAACATGTGCAAAAGATCAATGGAGACAAAAATTAGACAATTAAATTGGACTTTTAGAGACAAGGAAAGCAATACAGAAAAAAAAAAAACGAGGGAGATTAAATCCTTGATCCAGTGGAAAGATATTTTCTCATGACTAAATTATACGTAAAAACCGAAATTATATATTTTCATGCACACTGAAGTACTTTTCAATCGGATCAATTGCAATTAAAAGAAACAATAGCTCCAAGAGATAAGTTCAAAACTTTGAAATAGGACACATCACACATAATAAGGGCTGCATCGCTGAACAAGAACAAGCCCTCTGTGTGTGTACACTCAGCATCGATAAACGAGTTTGGCGAGTTGGCGTTCTCTTCCTGTCTGTTTTATGTCAGTGTTACAGCCCATTTAGCCTTAATTCACTAACTTACTCTCTTGAAACACAACTATGCCGGAAATTTTCTAAATGCAGTAGAAACAAGCACGGTGAAATAAAAATATATACTTCAGCAGAGGCGCTTTCTTTAGTTTAAATAGTCCTCGTATCGCAGGTGCCGCGCTGTTAATGTCAACTTCCCCACCAACAAGTCGCCAAAAACTTACCTTTCCCTTCAGGTCGAGGATGAATATCGCCGAGGCGGACATCTTGCCGGAGAAAAAAAAACCTCGAGAACAAGAATGAGGCAGGATGATTTCTAGGTCTACTCTAGGATATGGGTCATATAAATGCAAGAAAAAGTCGCTCCCATCATTCTCCACCTCCCTCCTCTGAGCTGCGCTCTGTTCAGTCGAAGCGTTTCGCTGCAGCGCCGCTTTCCGGAGCGTCAAACTCACTGCGTTTACGGAAGTACAATTTCCGGCCGCAAAATGAGTTCAACCAATCTATTTTCATCATCAAATATGATTAATTTTAACCTCATCACAATGTTGCAGAACGCTTAAATCAGTTTTGTTCGCCTGGCTTAGCGCTTAGTGATGCTTTTTCAGTGCAAAGGAGCCGTTTTACACTCTTAACAACTTAAATAAAAGGCTGAAAAGGTTGTGGATTTTGAAGTGATTGACGAGATACCTCAGATCCAACAGTTATGTAAAGATGTAGAACTAATGATAAACAGTTAATAAAATGTGTCCTTGTGAAATTGCATGTGTTAAAGCATGCAAGACTTCGGGCATTCTTCTTCTTCTTCTTCTTCTTCTTCTTGTTCTTCTTCTTCTTCTTCTTCTTCTTCTTCTTCTTCTTATTATTATTATTATTATTATTATTATTATTATTATTATTATTATTATTATTATTATTATTATTATTATTATTATCTATTTTCCTGTCTTTTTCCCACCAGTGGGCTGACAGTGTGAAATTCAACGCTTTTGTTTTGAAGGCAAAATAGCTCTGCTTCCGGTTTTGGTGTGAACTTGACGTGCCGCTCTTCCGGATGCAGCCTCGCCTGACAGCTCCACGCAGACCTGTCAGGCTGCTCTCATCAGCTGTGTGGCCTCACACAGAAACGCTTCAGGGCTCGACCCAGCGCGCAGTGCCAAGCTTCATTACTGTTGTTTATGTCATTGTCGCGGAGTTTAAAAGAGAAGGTGAGTGATTCGAGTTGGTGCTCGTTGAAGCGAAAAGTCCTAAAGTTAGCCCTTCAGTAATTTCAAATCAACTATTTCTGTTCGCAAAAGGTTACAGTCACAATAGATACTTTTAGGTTTTAGGAAATTAACTCTTATAAGAAGCTTTAAGAAGAATACTAAATATTTTCTTAGTACTGGTACTGAAAGCAACTATATCTGAATTTATGATGCAGATTTTATGAGCATTAACCGAAACGTTTGCACACAACACATGCGAGTATTTTTTTTATTTTTTTTTAACAAACTCACATGATGTGGATTTAAAAATAAAAAATAGAAGCCTTAACATGTATTTCAGCTATTCAAAAATAAAAAAAACAACACAGACAAAAATAGCAGAAGACAATGTTCATGGTTATGGCCACATTATGAAGTGTCTGTTGACCTGACAATTTTCAAGCAAAGTGCCACATTGGAAATTTAAGCAGAAGGAAAAGTGTAATAGAAAATAATGTTCATGCAGCCGGATAACATTTAAGAAGCTGTGGGATTTCAGAGACAGATGAGTGACATGAAATGCATTTTTAGTGTACTGTGATCTATTTTTTTAAACCCTTGTTAAGTTCCTCTAGTTTGCCACCCGAAATGCAACCAAATATTTCAGGGGATTAAATATTTGCTTCTTGCAATGTTTCAAGATAGCCAGTGCTTCTCTCTTGCTGATTTTGACTTTTACATGATTGCACGCTCTTTAAAATATTTTGAAACTGTCAGCAATGTGAATTTAATGGTCCTTCATAGCTCACATTCAGACCTTCCAAACTAGAAGGCATGTGTAATAATTAATTTGAAAAACATTCACACCAACTGGAAAGACAAACAATGGAGTAGAGATGGTGTCTGGGAGGTTTCTGGTTCAACCAACCATCCACATGCATCCAGAGACTCTAAGTGATGCTGAATTCAATCACATCCATCTCTTCATCTGTGTCTTCCTCCATGTCCTTGGCTGCTCTCTCAGCCCGGGCTCTCTCACTGGCCGGGATGTAGTTGTCTTCAATAAAGCCGTCGTCATCCTCCTCCCTCACAGGGGGGAGGCAGTGAGGGTCCACTCGTCCCCTGTGCATATCAAACTCTACATCCATGCCTGCAGCCAGGAATAAAACAAGCATCAGTTAATTAAAAACAAAACAAAAGGTTCAAGAAGTCATGCTGACTGACAGGATCATCTGTCTGATATATTTTTCCTCTGATTTTTTTTTTTTTTAGTTTTTGTAGTTTCATATTTTTAGAATAAATGGAAACATCCAAGAAAATAATTATTATTCTTTTTAATTCCACATGGCTTTATAAGCAAAGTGAGAGTTAGAGTCAAATCTTACATTTCCCTGAAAGGTCGCCTCTTACTGCATGCACTAGTTCCAGGTTTCTTTATTGAAAATATTTTTTGTTTTGGTTTTATGTAATATCTGTATTATTTGAAAAACAAAGTGCTGTCTTTTTAGATGTAAGCCATAATCTTAAAAAAATAAATAAATAATATAAATAATTTGTTTGTAATGAGTTTCACATTTTGATTTGAATTCTGGAATTGATCATTGATTTATCATGATAATGTGCTGGCAATGTTTTTAAGCTCACTTGTTCCTTTAGGAATGTGAAGGATGAAAAAAGCGGTTTATGCATTTCACAAGATGTAAAAGGCTTGCATTTTTCCCCTTCTACACTATAAAACCAGCCTTCAAACAGGTTATACCTTTATAAATCATGCCTCATGTCAAAACGTTCAGCAGTTTTCTATTAGGTTTGTGTTTAAAAACCAACCTGAAGAGTCAGAATGGCTAACGGTATCAGGCTCCCTCAGGCGCGTGTGCCTGTAGCTGGCCAGGTAACGTCGGACCACCTGACATTTGGCGAGAAGGGCGAGGAGAAGGGAGACGGAGATGGCTGTGGCCAGAACACCAACCAAAAACTCCCAGTTGTGACTGGGAGGTTTTGGTATGCGGGTTATTGTGGTGTCTGTAAGAAAGCATCACAGAAAATCACGTACTTTGCAATACTGACGTGCTTTTGAAAACGTTTAACAGTAGACAGCAGTCATGGGCTTCAATTGTTGTTTATCCAAACAATGGTAATTTATATGTATATTTTAAATTTTTGATGTATATGTCATAAAGTAAGACAGCTCTGGCCCTCCCCCCAGCTGATTCGGTTTACTGCTGATCAGCTAACTGAAAGAAGAGTTGAAGCAAATCCAACAAAAATCTGGCCCAGGACTTGTGAGAAGTATTATGCTTCAGTTGATCATCTACTTTATGTACTTTGTGCAGATTGGCTTGTCGAACAGGCAAAAAACGCACAAGTAAATTCATGAAAGGATAACTGGGTGTCCACACAAAAATTACAAGAAAACAAGCAAAACAAAAACATGAAGCTTTCTACTTACAAACGATCACAACAAAGCATGGCTCCATAAGAAAATCAATTTTATCACTAAGGCTTGTTTAAATCATGTGCCAGAAATGATCAATAAAAGGCACAAGAATATGTCAGAGATTTTTGTGTTAATGCCTTAAAAATCAGAGGTTTACTATCAGAACCATTAATATCTGTTTTAAACAATGGGGGATGCTCAGATTATGATGTCATGACTTTGGAAACTTCTGAAAGGTTAACGGACCCATTTGAGCTCATTGGAGACACAGCTGCTTGTGTTTTAAGGCCACACCATAAGCACACTGTGTTCTTGTTTGACACATTAGGAATGGGAAAGTAAAAAAAAGTCTGCCAATATATCAAGAAGATAACTGTGGAGCAATTTGGCAAATAGAAATAATTTTGGTAATTTTAATTGACCTAAAAAAAAAAGAGAAGTTTGGTTTGGTTTAACTTGTGTGTGTAAACTTCTGATTTCTGTTGTATGATGGATATACTGTGTCTTATATAATGTAAATAAATAAATAAATAAATAAATAAATAAATGTTTTTTGTTTAGGAACAGACAACAAACCTTTCTCTTACCATTAGTTGTTAGTGGTGGTATGGATGTTTGATTTACTGATGATGCCATTTCCTGATGATTTCTCTGTCAGAGTCTTTTTTATTTATTTATTTCCTGGTGAATTAGGCCTTTCACTTGCTTTGAGTCAACCAACTCTTGCATGAAACGTCTCGTTGTGAGAATATCTCCCGGATAGGTCACTTTGTGTTCTGCAACACTCGTAGAAAACTCAAAATCATGCTTTTCATTATTTTCTTTTTCAGCCGTTTTGTGTTACATTCTTCCCAGTAGGTAAAAGGTTGAATATGATGATTGGAAGATGTTGCAGGGAATGCAACTCCCCAGATGAGGGGAGTAGTTGGCTGGTTTATCTTTGCCGGATCCGAGCTGAACCTTTGGAACTCCACTAGGTGGCAAGATTGAGGGACAAGTGACCTGCTGGTGTTGACAGATAGGTGGAGACAAGCTGGAATATAAATCAGACTCCTTCTGAAGCAGTCAAACCAGGTCCTGTAGAAAGTAGAGTAAATAACATATTAGCTTTTTGCTTGAACATTTTAACTTTTACCTGTTTGCATATTTATAAGAAGGGTTGGAAAAAAAAAATCTTCTCCAGTTAGACTCCCAAAGCTCACGAGCATTTTAGCTGGAAATGCTAATGTTTTTGTGCCAAAGAAAGCAAATCTCATCAGAGTCGACACAATCAAATGACCTAAATGTGTCACTTTAACACAAAAAAATAAAATGTCATAAGAAGAAGTGATTTTATTCTGAAGTCATTAATGAGGACAAACTCTCTGGAGTTCACCCAAAGCAGGAAAAGTGTGTTGTAAACAGGAAGTCCCACATTCTGCTGAAATCCTTCTTCTAAGGTGTTTCTGCAACAAATAAAAACTCACAAATTTGTGTGTGTGAGTCGCCTGAAGGATCTGAGTACATGGCTTCCCACAACATAGACGCCGCAGCCTGGCAGGATCTTGAAGGGCAATAAGAAGGAAGCCTGCAGGCATTATTTGTTTTGCAACAACAAATATCAAAGTTTTTCAGATTTATTTCTTGTTGAAGCAGCGCTGAGGGGAAATGTCCTCAAATTAGAAACACTGCAGCATTTGGCGGTCTTTCTTCCATTTTGGTTTGTTTAGCACAAAACCAGGAAATGGAACATCTTTAAGCAGTAAACATTTTCCCCTCTGATACAGCTGAGATAACTTTGTAGGTTTTATAATGTTTGGCTTTCAAGTTTACAGAAAAAAAAATCATCACAAAGAATTAATGCATTTTTATTAAAAAAAAACATCATTCAGGACACTCAAGGATGCTGGGCAGTTACAAAACAAAGATGCAACAGAAGTAGCAAATAGAATAAAAAAAAAACACTAAATATTTTTGGTAACACTTTATTTGAAGGGGGGTGAATAAGACTGACATAAACACCTGTCATGAACATGAAAAAGCCTTCATGAATATTTATGACTGTTGTCATAAAGCGTCATTCGGTAAATTGTGACACTTAATACAAAGTTGACATTATTCAAAATGTCTTTGTTATGACAACTTGACATTAACCAAGGAATCATTACTGATATAAATTTGTTATAAAAGTATTACTGATTGCACTTTAAAAATTAGGTAACTTTGTTATTAAAGGTAAAGTTTAAACAGTAATGATTTCTTGCTTAATGTCAAGTTGTCATAACAAAGACATTTTGAATAATGTCAACTTTGTATTAAAAGTGTCATAATTTACCGAATGACACTTTATGACAACAGTCATAAATATCCATGAAGGCTTATTGATGTTCATGTCATGTTTATGAAAGTGTCATGACAGTCTTATTCAAACCCCTTCAAATAAATTGTTACCATATTTTTAAAAAAAGGTTAAGATGTTAATCTATAAAGATGTGATCTGTGTGGTTTCAACAACTGGACTTGGTTTGATGCTCTCTTCACCTGTCATACACTGACTTTGTGCTGAAACCATCATGTGTGTCTATTTACTCCATGCAAATATAAACCTGTGAGCTGAAGATCCTTATGTAAAGTTATTTAAATGTTTCCTGGACATTTGCATCCATGAGTGTGCAGGAAACTTCCCTGTATGTAAAGTACAAACAGATGTACAAAAAAAATCCCGTCTGACAGGATTACACAAGCTTCTTTAACTTCTAATGATCTCAGTAAACATGAATATTTGTTTGCATAAGAGCTGTGGATCAAACTGTTTAAAAACATGTTTCTCTTCCTGTAGATGTTTTGGTTTCACATTTTTAACTATTCTTCTTTTTAAGGTATCTTCTGATTGATATTTGAAGTAAAGATGCTCCATCCTAACAAGTAAAACCAGATGTTTACATACAGTGTATGACAATTAACATATTTTTTCATGCTACAGGCTTCGCTTTCACATCAGTCAGCACTGCCCAGATCATTTTCATTTGCTAAGTGGCAGATTATTATGAAACAGATCATTTTTATGATATTTTGTATTGTAACTTTCTTCAAATTCATAAGTTTAAATGCATTTCTTTATTTCATACAATGTCTAAACTGGTAAACTATTGTGTTTTTGTGTTTTTCCACAAATTCATAATAATTAGAAATTTTGACCCTTTCTTACTGACAGAACTGGTCTAACAGAGTTTAGTTTATATGCCGCCTTTGTGGTGCTTAAAGTTCAGACCACAAATTTGACTGTTGTCTGTCAGCCACTCAGTAGGTTATTTAGCTCTGTCTTTAGGGTCATTGTCCATCTGAAAGAACCACATTTTGCCAAATTCATTGCTGATGCCTTCTGACGTTGCTTTAATCGACTTAATGTTCTTTTCTTCAGTTTGTAAAACACACCAGTTCCTTCAGCAGCAGATAGCTACAACATTATCCTGTCACCGCCATACTTCATGGCTTTGGTTGTGTCCCCAGATTTGCAGGCTCCCACTGTTTTCCTCCAAATGTAATGATAATTCATTTTGGCTAATTTTGAGTTTTATCATGTCTCATGACAATATGTCCATTTGGAGACAATAACCTGACTTTATATGTTGCTTTTTGAATAATTACTTCTTCTTTTCTGAGTGACCTTTCAGCCCATGTCAACACAGAACTCAGTGGACAGTAATACTCTCCTAGTAGCTTTAGCTTGTATCTTTAGAGAGTCGTTTATGTAAGTTCTGTTGTTGAAATGCACATTTTTACCAAAGCATAATCACCTCTGGGACATGGAACCCACTTCTTTGCTTTATAGTTTGACGCCTAAATGTTCCCATGGCTTTTAAATTTGAATATAACTGTTTGAACATATAAATGTGGTGCCTTTGTTGCATTTGAAAAATGTTAAAAAGATGAATCATGTGGAGATCCAAAATTCTTTCACACAAGTCCGATGCGCCACAAGGAAGCTGTACTTGAGATGCAATTTCAAGTGCTTCCACAGCTGTGCTTCCATCTAACGCAGAGATTGAATTTTAGTTTATCAGAGGCCTGTAAGGTTGTGACATCATCACTTGAGCTTCCCAAAATTGTTTAAAGGGATGGAAATCTGCCTATAAACTTCTTACTTTGAAGAAGTCTAAACACAAGTCTCTCTTTTCTTTATCTTGTTATTGAATGCGACAGTGAGAAATACAGTTTTATGTCTTTTCGTTCTGTGTATGTGAATGTGGCGTTTCAACTGCGTGTGTAAGATGAGACAAGTTAAAAAAAATCCCTCATAAATATTGGGGGTTTTGTACCACTGCCAGCAGTTTTAGCATGAGAGGACCCATGTGAAGGGCGTTGTCTGTTCATATCCGTACTACTTTTGCACAACATTTAATTACTGACTTCTCCATGAGCAGATCTTAGCAAGTGGAGCTGGAAGGAATCATGTACACAATATTTGAAATATGTGTATATTTTACTGATTATAGTGCAGATTGAAGGTTTTGGCCTAGATGTGTTTTGGGAATTTTTTGAGTTGCAATGCCACTACTATGAAATTACTGTATAAACCCCATAAAATGTTGCATGTCTTTTTTTAATCTTCACCTCATTCTAACCCTTCGACATCGCTAAAGAATGTGCCGAAGCTTCTGTTGGGCAGTGTCGTTCTGTGATTTGGAGTTTAAACTGTAATCTAGGACCTCAAAACTTCGATGATTCTCAGCAATCAGCTTTTGTGATTCTTTTTCTGGATTCTCATTCCCCTGTGATTGCAGCACAAACTGATCTCTGTGTGCAAGGAGCTTAAGCATGGCATGGATGTTAGCAAGGAGTTCTTGCCTTTTCAAAACAACTTGGGTGCTAAGTTATTCATATTCTATAAAATGTCTCACTGAAGTGCAAAATGGATATTCAATAGTGGGATTCTTATTAAAATTGAGGCTGTTTTTTTATGACTGAGGAAGCATAATAAAATGTTGTGTCTTTAATCATTTTTCTGGTTTCTGGTTTTAGTTCAAAGGAAAGGAAGTCATTATTCTAACAAATTGTTATTACCTTTTATTTGAGCTCAACCTCATCTTAATTCATAACATATCAGTGCTTGGTCAAGGTTATGCCATCGTACTGAGTAACTTCTGGAATCATTTATTCATGCCCAGGGTTAATTTTTAAAAGTAGCTTTGCTGACTGAACTTGAAGGCCCAAAAAAAGAAAAAGATTTTGAAAAAGAACGGTCTCACAGGTCAATCAAAACTTTCCATATCATCTGATTACAATTATGACTGTTAAATGTTCTGATCAGATTAGTTTAATGCCCATGTGACACATAGGTCTTTGTGCTGTAATAGCATGTAAAATTAGCCTATCAGAGTAAATGCACTCACTAACAGGCTGATCCCCTCGGTTTGGCTTTGAATTTGGAACACCAAGTCAAGGTTAAAAAAAAAAAGGCTCAGTTGGTCAGTTTTACTTTCCTGTAGTCCAGCTGCAGGTCTGTTCTCTCCACAGTTATTTAAATATTCTGATTTGCACGTCTGCATATTGCTGTCTCTTCTTGTTATAGTAAGTTGTTGCATGTTCTCAGAGATTTAACTGTTTAGATATCACTGACAGCGGCTGGCAAAGAGTAAAGAAACTATGGTCCTCTAACTCATGTTTTTCTTCTTACAATGTCCTTCAGCCAAATTTTGTTTTGTTTTATTTACATGGTTTTACAACAGGATAATTTAGCGTTGGAAGGAAAATAAATCATGTTGTTAGTGTAACACTCTCCTGGTTTCTCCATCATAAATTTATGAGCTTTTTTTCAATCCCCACTGTGTGTCTGTTGCTTTCTCAGGCATGTTTTAAGGTTTCGGCACGTCTTGTTCACTTTCTTGACCCTGAGGTGATTTTTCATTGCGAGAGGGGTCCGGCAGCTCAACTCCAGCCATTAGGCCTCTTCCCCTTCATCTTGTCCTGCCATTCTCTGCAGCACTGTTGGCTGTAAACAAGCCAACAGGGCTGCCTTTATCTCTTCCTGTTCTGTCTTCACATAAGCAAAGCAGGACAAAATATACACATCAGGCAGAGCAGGACGTGGACCAGCGGGAGATAGAAGTATGCATTTTATGTGTGGGTGTTGTTCCTGTGCAGCTCTTGTGTGCTTCAATACGTGAATCCATGTATGTGATAAAGGCTAACTTTGCTTTTTTTTTCTTTTTTTTTCTGCACTCATCTGCAAACAAATTTTATAAAAGAAATCCAGTTTATCTTTGTCATTTTTTGTTCTGTTGCCCTGAATTAAGGTTTAAGTGTCTGTTGACTCTAACAGTGACAGAGGGTGACAAATGTTATTTTTGTTGTTAAGCTGAAATGAACCTCATAGTGTTTGAGTGTAATCAAACCATATGAAAAAGACCAAATAATTAGCAGTTTGATTTTATTCAAAAATTAACTGTTCCATACAATTTGCCTAAGACTTTGCGGAAAATGTGTTTTCTTATATAATTACTGCAAGTCAGAATTATCTTCTTTTTTATCTGATGTGTAAATATTCATAATTCATGGTTATTCAGTATAAATGTTGACCAAGAAGCTAAGAAACAAAAAGATTTAAGAGAGCTTCAGGCTTTCTCTTCTGTCCCTCCACCAAGTTCTGCACTTATGTTTGCTTTGAAATGTACAAAGAGAGTCAGGTCATGGCATTGCAAGTCAAAAGATAATAGACAGGCACATAATTTTTGAACCCTGAGCAACGGTTAACAGAGACTGATAAGTGTCTGTTAACCTAAGAGCTGTTGCACTTAGAAAAAAATGTCAGATTTTTTTTCATTAAAGTTCAAGTAATGAGTTTTCAGATGTCTAGTGATTTCCATTTTATTCCAGACTGACTAGTGTTACCAGAGTCCCACAGTGTATACAATAAGCATGCAATAAACTTTTATTGTGGGTTTACTTTAGCAAAGAAATACTGAAACTATCAGTTTTCACCTGTTTATACAATCTGTAATGGGAAAGTGTGATCAAGTAAAGGTGAACTGCTGCTGGTGCATAAATGTTATAAGTATAAACAGTTGATGTCCCACATGGTGCTCAGTGTATGATCTTAAAAATAGAGGCTGTACAAAGCGCTCTTTAAAAAGAACACAAAACAATTATGTGAAATGATTTCCAAATTGATGTATTCCCTGTTTGATTTGAAGTGTCACCTGCCAATTCCTGTTTCTGCAAATTCCGAGAAAAAGAAAAAGAGAGAAGAAAACTGAGCTACAGCTTTGTTTTATAAATGTTTTTATAAAGGTAGCAGTTTTTTTTCTAGAAAAAAGCATCATTTACAAGGTCATCCAGATTTATGCATCAAAGCATATGTCGCTAAATATTATCTCATATTTATTAAACTCAAAAAATTGTATTAAAGCAAGACATTGGATGATTCATTTAGAAATCAAAAATCCTTGGTTTGGTTAATTTGGTCAGCATTATAAAAAGACCAAAAGACTTTTCAGGATTTAGTCATCTGATCACTGATTAAAGGAAACATGAACACTATAAAATACATTTAAAAGTTTTTGCCAAGTGTAAGAAAGTTAAAATGTTTCCTTAAACTTACAGTTGTCTAAAGTGTTAAAACCAAACAGGCAAATCATAAAATGGCAAAAATAACAGAAACAATAAAGTAATGCTGTCAGTTATTGCTTAATATTCTTGAAGGCAGATCTGAAAACTGTGCTCTCTTAGTTATGAGATTAATTTGTCAATTTACTTTAAAGTAATATTGAATTACAGTCACAGTTTACATTCCCTATTACTATGCATTTAGCTTCATCTTTCCTGGTACATATATTGGATACAATGACTGAATCAGAATCTTAAACCATAACTGAGTAAAACTTTATTAACAAGAAAGTGGAAATGTTGCCACTTTCTTGTTAATAAAGTTTTACTCCTAGCTCTGTGACTTTATTTCCATAGAAAATAATGGAATAAAAGTAAGTTGGCTGGTATGTGTTACAGCACACACTGACTACAACTAGGGATCAAAAATAAGTCAGTCTGTTTAACTATTTGCTGTAAAAATGTTGTAGTTTTACATTAAAGGAACAAAATATGAAAATGTTTTGGTAAGTCAGGCTTGTTATATTTTCTCAGCACTTTTTTAAAGGTCATCAAACCAAATAGCTTATTAGCTTGACTACCTTTGAGTGCTTTTATATTGCCTAAATCAAATGTCATAAACTTTACATTTACGCAGTTTTTATAAGTAGCCTCGTTATACTTGTATTCAGGAGAGAAACATTTACCCAGCCTGTCTTAAATACTGCTAGCGAAATCCCTTCTAAAAGCCCAGTTGTTTACAGTAGGTCTTACCTGGTGACCTGGTCATCAGAGTCCCAGCGGTATCAGATTACACCTGCTCTCTTCGACTTCCCACATACTTCAAGTGAGCTTTAACATTTTCTTCTGCTTTTGCCTGTGACATAGAGAAGTGCTGTGCAAAGGTTGATCTTTGTTGTGCTCTGCAGCTCATTCCAGGAATAACATGTTAATGAGTAACTTTGGTTACCAAGGTGTGCTCCCTCTTTCACCTCCTCCTGCTCTTCCCCGGCCAATGAGATATTAGACCTGGTCAGTGGCAAACCAGGAAGAAGTTAAACACGTAGTGAAAGCAGTATGTAACCCTTCACATTGTAACTACCTGTAAGTGACACAGTAACTAACCAATCTAAGTTGTTTATTACAAATGTTCTGTGCATGGACCCATCCATAACCTGAAGAATAATTTTGTTTTATATTTGCTTTAGTTATTATTTGTCTCCTCTTCTTCTGGGTGTGTCTGTTTGCATGTAATTGCCTCAGGTGACAGACTTTGTCTCGTGAATTTAACATATAAACATTTTCTCCTCCGTCTTGGGAAAGGATGTGTGACTAGATACTTGCGGCGTCTAGAAGTTTTGTTTATATCAGATCCACAGATTGAACAGAGAGAAATGCCTCTGAGGTTCTGAAAGGAAAAGCGATGTGACCCTGAGAACAATAGTGCCACTTCCTGACCTTCCTGTATCTTTACGTTTAATTCCCATACCAATTCTCCTTACCTCCCTCCCTGTTAATGTTCCAGGATGCTTCAGCTGCATGTCTTGTGGAAAATATCAGGGACAAAGATGGGTTGAGAATCAAAAATGATAACTCAGCATCATCTGGAAGATGCAGGAGTTTCAGAAAGGCTGGTAGCAAAGAGGAAACAATGCAAGCTTGTTCTTCATCCATGTAATTTTGAGTATTGTGTATTGCAAAATAATTTTTTAATTAGTTCTTTTTAAGAAAAGATTATTTGGAAACAGTTGCTTATTTGCCCTTCTCATAAGTGCTTAAGGTCAAAATACTGTTTGCTGTTTAAAAATCAACTATCAGGGCAAAAATATATTAAATGTATAATCTCACAAGGTTCAGTGATAGAACCTGAACTGATTTTATACATCTGTGACATTTGTGAAATATTAACTAAACTACAGTTTCTTTTATTTGTAGATGACACTACTATTTATATTTTGGTAACAGCATAATGAAAATTACAGTGGGTGAAATGTTGTTTTTTCTTTGTAGGTAGAAATAAAACAATATTTGTACATTTTGATAGCAAAAAAAGGACAATTAACAGATAATAAACAGAGTTTCAAAAAAAGTATGCTTAAAGTAGAGGCTTTAGAATTAATTTTGAATAATGATCCTAATTAAAAATATATAGACTACATCAATAGAAAAGTATACAAAAGTATTGCAGTTCTGTTTTTTTATTTTTCCTTAAGTGCTTCATATGTTATGCTGTTCACCTTTTCTTCCATAGTTGAGTTTTTGATGTGATTTAAGGGAAGCATGATATGGGAATAAAGATTCTTGAATCGGAAATAAAGTTTTAAAAAGGATGGTAAGCGAGTCCTTTGCTGTTAACCGAATAGTTCAGTCATGTGAAAACCTAAAAAAATGTCTTTTGTTTTAACTTGGTCAATGTTTTCTAATGCAATGCTCGCAAATAGAGAAAACAAAGACTGTGGATGTTACTTTCCATGGTAGTGCTAATATACTTTCCACTGTGTGCATTAAAGCAGATATTTGGTGTTTGCACTATTAAAATAATCAGCTATAAGTGTTATTAGAGGGAGTCTCAAGTATTCTTGGGTGGTTGTGTTTCCTAACCTCAGCGAATACCAGAGATCCACTGTAGCATGAAACCTGATGCCATTAAAATTACATATAACTGACATTGACAACATATTTTGGTTTTAAATTAAAATACAGTACTTTATTTTGCAAAGACAGCATAACATTGATATATATATATATATATATATATATATATTTTTTTTTTTTATCAGAATCAGATAACACTTTTAAAATCAGTGACAGATAAAGATGTTTAATTAATCCTCTCTTAGCTTTCTGGATCGTTTAGGATCATAATAAAGACTCAGAATCTGTATAAAATTATGTTGCAAGGACATTTCTTCCCCCTCTCCCCTCAACACCCCACTTACTTCTGCTGAATTGCATTGTTTACTCTTTGCTCTGCAAGAAAAGTGCCGGGGTCTGGGGTCACGGCTCTTTTTGTGAAGAAGATGGGAAAACCTTACAAGGTCTTTAAAAGAAGGGGGAAATAACAACACGTGCTGTGCTGTACATAACAATGGACAGTTGCACTTGAGGAGGAAAAGCTATGTGACAAACAATCCTGTGTCTGGCCATTGGTCATCTAGAGGAGACAATCCGAAGCTCTCTGGAGGTTTGCTGGATGGAGAGTAACTGCCAGTTTTCTTTTGTGTTTTTTTTTTTCTTCCCTAAAAACATTTGTTCCCTTCTGAAACAAATCTAGGTGTGAATTTTACAAGGTGATATAGTTTCACATTTTTTACATATTTTGGAGCTTATGAGTCCATGTGCTGTGGCCCTGTCAGGAAACAGGAAAATGTGAGACAGGATTTCTACACATCTGCTTCAAATCTATATGTCTATGAATAAAACATCTGCATCTGCATTTTTTTTTTTCACTTTCACCCCAAAATTTATCTCAAGGGCCTCATGTATTTGTGGTTATAGGAAAAAAAGATACTACACCCCCCTCTTACATGTAGAGTTTCACCTGTCATGAAAAGTCATCGGATCTTTGCGAGATTTAGAAATTATTTAATGTAAGCTCAAATGTACAAAACACACAATAGACTCCTGCCAATACTATTCAAGCAAGGAAAGAGTTAAAAGGCCTAAAAAAAACTAAGCCCACCCTATGATTCAGTAGCTTGTAGAACCATTTTTAACATCAGCTGCTGAAGTAGATGTTTCCTGTATGACTTAACCATTCTGTTAAACTATTTTGGAGAAGGTACAGCAGTGATTCACCACATAACAACTCATCATCACGGGGTTAGAAAAATGCCATACATCATAACATAACATCAGAGTAGCTGTCTACCTGATGTGAAGGAAGCCTGGCAGTGAAGCACAGGAGCAGCATCCCTCAAAGAGACACAAGGAAAGATGCAGAGCACAGATCCAAACCCCACCCTACCTCACCATCACATCCCCATAGAACAGAGGATCTGGTCACGCTGGTGGCCAGGTGCCCACACAAGCCTCAAGCATTGCATCATCAAACTCTCTGATGGAAAGTCAAAGGAACCAGCTTAGCACAGTGGAGGCTGCTGTCAGGGACCCCCAGAGCTCCCACAGGTGGCCACCCTCAGGTGGATGAAATCCAGGGGAATTCATGTTAGCTGTGCCTAGCCAGTGTCCAGAATGCTGACCAGAACTCAGGGACTCCCAAAACCAGCCAGAACCACAGGAACCAGCGGGCCCTGGCAGTTCCAACGTCCCCTGACACTAGCCTTGGCTATAACCTAAAACTGCTAGAGTCCACTGGTTCCTGTGGTTCTGCATGGTCTTGGGAGTCCCTGAGCAACCATAGCCATAACCATAATAAAAAGAGGAAGAAATGCATTAGACTCAGTCTAACATTTTCTCTAAGATAGTTGGAAGAAATATTTTTTTTTTCTTTACCTTTAATAACTATTCCATGCTAAATATCCTGTTGCATTTGCAACATGCAACTGGATACCCAGTAATCCAGGTCTGGGTTTGATTAGAAGATTACTGTCTTTGTGAAGAAAGTGACTCATTCTAATGAGATGCTAATAACCAGGCATGCTTAATTCACTGTTTGTTTTCGATGTCAGGGTTTCATGAATTTACACCAAAGCTTTAAGCAGAAATGCACCCAGTATTACATAAACACACTTTGTGAAGGTGAAACGAGAAGCATTATAACACATCCATTTCCCATCTACCTTGGAGTGAGCATTGAAGTCGCCACAGTTTTAATATGCTCCAGCTGCACTCCTCCTAATGCTGTTATTGAAGCTGTAAGTCTGTTAATGTGAAAAGTGAGAGAGCCCAGAGACACTTTATGACAGAGTATCATACTACTAATGCTTCTACGGTTTTTACTGCTGGTATCCAGTGCATATATTAACTGTATTTTTTAGGGGTACCTCCAGTACGACTTAGCTGATACATACAATTTTGGATGGAAATTATAAAATCTCTCTAACCAGGCCCATGAGAAGACATACACAAAGAAGCACATAAGGTTTAGTCCATCGCTGAGCTGCTGACTTAGAAATGTTTTGACTTAATAAATAACAATTTACTTTTTAGAGAGTTCTTAAGAAAAAAACAATATTCTTTTTATCTAATGAATGCAAAATTAAATAAAAAAAGGTGATCATGTAATTGATAGTTGGTTAAAAAAAAAAAAAGGTTAGGGTTAGGCTAAATCGTTGTAAAGCAACTTTCACTCAGCAGACATGTGCAACCCAAGTCTGACTTTTTGAGAGAAAGGTCCGAAATTTTCAGCCAAAATAAAGTCTGATTTGTGTCAATTCCACATGTGGTACAAAATCGTATCCTGTAGTCTTGAAAGGGTCTGCAGTCTGAAGGGTCATGTCACATTTAATACGATTTTTACACCATTAACATAAAATATAATTCTTTCTGCACCAGCAGAAGACAGATGCAGTAAATCTTAATGCCAATAATGGCTGGCTGAACATTATAATTCTGAAATTCTGAAATAAGATTCTGCAAACAGTGTGCTGTTGTGTGACCTCCATGTTCTTCTGATCACACATAGCATTAAGACATGGTGTATGAAGTTAGCTCATGAATGTGAAAGTTCATTAAGTCATCAACTTTTCAAGATAGATTGTCCTAAATTTAACAGATCCTATTTAACAAGAGGAAGCTGAAAAAATAAACTGCTTCTGTTAAAAGTGTCCTTCTAGTTTCCACTATGTATGTCCACATTTGCAAATTTTCAATCCATTATTTTCAAGTCCTAGTCAAGTTTCTAATGGTTGAAATTATTATTCTCTTATTGGACATATGCCTTATAGCCTGCTTAAAACAACTTCAATTTTTTAAATAACTATCAAAACTTATTTTTTAAACCAGGTGTTTGTTTAAAAAAAATTAACACCTCTCACCCAAATGTACCAAAAGCAGTCATCCTCTGCAACAT